ACGGCCAATTTTTTTCTTTCAGGTGCAAATACATACCCGCGGACCTAGATATTTACCATGGGGGGTGCCAATCCTATCATTCACAACAAAAATGTCAGGCATAACCATAAAAAATGTCATTTTATCATTCTACCCTTATAATACATATAGGATTAGACTAAGAGTACTAGATAAAAAAAGATTTGCATTTTTGAAGGGGATGCCAGGGCACCCACAGAACCCCCATTGGATCCGCCACTGCCCGAGGGATTCATTAGAACTAGCAACCGAAATTTCCGATCGTATATATCAAATGTGTAAAAAAAGTGAAATTTATTATTTTTGTAACTAATAAAATACATGTTAAATGGCATGCGCTAAAAGTACAGCCATAATTGTTAGATTGTAATATCCTTGCATCACACATTTTACAAAAAGGAGGATAATCTTTGGCCTTTGGATCTATTGATGCACAATGTTTATAAATTAGTATTTTTTTAATAAAAATTAGTAGCATTTATACCAAACAAATTTTCTTTAAAAAAAAGGAAAGCCCCAAAGTTATCCAGGGCCTCCATCGCACCAAGCATCTCCACAACTACCACAAACGTATGACCTATGACCCGAATCCACCAGCAGAGCAACATGTGACATAACAAAGGCCGTAAAACTTAGGCAACACCTTCAAGGAGTCGTAGCTCGAACACCGATGTTGTCGGATCCAACCAAAAGGTTTAACTTGGTGCTAACTATCACCCACTAAGAAAAGGTCCAAGGTAACACCCTTATTGAAGAAAGCGCCATATTACGGTAATCTTTACCTTTACCTAATATTAAAGGAAGGAGCCTTTCATAGTTCTTCATACGTCATCCTTTTATGTCCGTTGATTTTGTTATATTTGTGTCGAATATATTATGTACGCAAGGGGTTACGTGGACTTGGAGTTGTAATTGGTGTGGTTAGGTACGAGTTGTGTAGGAGTCGTACACTTGTATCCTAGGCCTCTTATATACGGAGGGACACCACACGTTGTAATCCATGATGACTTGATAGCAAAAGGTACGCGGGGGAGCCGACGGCTTGTGCCGGCGCCCGGGCGACCGGTGTTGCGGTATCTTGGGGAGGAGCGCCCGTAGTCATGCCCCGGAGATGTAGCCATATCGGTGAACCTCGTTAACAAATATCGTGCCTCGGTGTATCTCTATGATCTTGCATTAGGGTTTTTTTCTAACAGATTTTATCTTAACCATAAAGATTAGCTGTTGTGATTTAAAAGGAGGGAGATTTTTTTATCAAAAAACTATTCGTCTCTCAGTCAAATTTACATTCTGTCAACTAGGAGTCGAACCCAGGCTAGGCCCAGGCGAAGTTTGGTGCTGGTTGTGTCCTTCACAGACTCATATTGACTATTATTATACAGCAAACCTCCGACCTAATTTTGTAATTTATACGCCGCAACCCAACATGGACTCCGCCGTCAAAAAAGGTCAAGCCATGTTGAAGTGCAGGGATGATGGTTGCTATTTGCTACCGATCCAAAGGCTTCTACGGCGAGCGAAGGATCGAGTACCTCACGATTGACGCTGTGCCCCGAAAGATCGAGCCCTGTTGTAGTTAGGCATGGAGCTGCTATTTACATCCGATCCAAAGCGTAGCGGTCGTGGCGGGTGAGGGCAATGGCGGCAGCCACGGTGGCGTCTACTTCTATGAAGGGGTGCGGCAAGGTGATCTGGAATACGGGAGGAGGAGGAGGTCGGGGAGAAGAATCACCCCATGGCTAGCGTACTAAGTTGCGTTTCGCCGAGCGTAACCACAAATACCATGGCGCATCAGTAGTCACTTCGTCTCTTAGCATGTCTATGGGTTCATGGTGCAGGGAGATGACCGAACATGGAGCCGATAGCATTGTCACGTGATGAACTCGACAGATTCTACGTGATCTCAATCTCGGCACGCAGCACAATGACGGCCGGCCGGCCCGTCCACGACGTCTGCGGCGCATCCATGCGTGCAGCCCCATAAACACAGGCACACACACATAGGTATGCTAGCCGTCGCGCGTGTGGCCGCCGTTGAGGATCAACCATCCGCCGAGAACAACATCACCGCGAGCAGCTTGCCTCCGTTGCACAGAGACGAGGATTGGAAAGGGAAAACCATGGAAGAAGCTTTCTCGGTAAGAGACCATGCTTCATCCCGATAGGCGATCGTGAGTAATTCCTACAACTCCAACTACAGTCATCGACAGTTATAGCCTGTGTGATAACTCATCCGACGACCGGTGCATTAAGCATCATCCAGGTCTGGTCTATGTACGTACTAAACCGGCCTAACGGCCTAAGTATTTGATTATCAGTCTATTGTTATAGGTAGTGCTTCTCTCTTGAATTCACTGACTTTTGCATAACTGCATGTATATGACAGTTCTGCAGGCTTAGGGTAGCTGATGCTTGCATGGATACATGCATGCATGGACGGTCTGAAGTACTACCTCCGGCCGGGTTTCCTAGGCTCTCTCTTATTTTGGACTAAAGTTTGACTAACAGATTAAACTAATAAAATATAAACTATATGTTACAAAAATTATACATTCGAAAAGCTCTTTCAAATACAAATCCAAGAGTGTACTTTTGCTAGCATATATTCTATATTTTATTAATCATATGAATGGTCAAAGTTTGACTCAAAATAGTAGGAGGCCTGATAAACCCGGATGGAGGTAGTACTATCTCTTTCTTTAGCATTTTGTATATGAAGAAACTAGTAGAGTATCATTCTATATAATCCATTATTTTTCGCGTATAAGAGAGAAAATTAAATTAATTGGATTTTAAAAATATTAAATTATGAAGTTTTTGCACTAATATAAAAAATAAAATCTAATAAGAAATATATATGTAGACAGGAGTATATGCATGCATGTGTCTATTATGTGCTGCAGATGGATTATTTTATTTTTTTGCGCTGGAAAGGCAGTTTTTATTGCAATGTCACAGTGTTACAATCAAGAGGCCACAAATCCTCGATACAAGGTGGAACCGAGTTCACCCACACAGCCGTGGTTCTCTCAGAGCGGCTATATTTGGCCAAACGATCTGCAACACTATTTTGACTACGATGAATTTTCTGAGGTAAAAACTCCCTAACACACATGAGCTTCTTGATCTCAAGGACTAGCTGACCATATGCTGATCTGTTGAGGCAGTTACTTGACAAGGAAGACGGAGCTGCAGCCGAACAGCACAACCACTGCAGATGGATTATTAATGACGAGGAAAATTTCTACCATGCATCTACTAAAAATTATTTCATAAAGTCGGATTCATGGGATGTTGTTGTTCCATGGCAACACATGTCTATCGATCTTGGTGAAGATTAAATATGAGACGAGATGTAGCTGTATTTTGCACATACAATTCTAACTATACTTAAATATGCACTATTTTTTCTGCCGTTGCAACGCACGAGCATATTTGCTAGTGTTGCATAATCTTGTAACAAAAATGTTAGATCATGGGTTTTTACCCAAATAAGATGCAAACTCCTACCCACCCTCTCTATTGCCTTCTTACATATAGCATCTTCTAGCCCGCTCCCAATCCGGAAAAGCCCTTGTCCTATTCGCCTCGAACAATTGCATTCTTTTATCGTCACCCACCATCCACCTGTTCTGATGTTGTCTTTAAATACTTTGCACCACCTCCCATCCCTCCATATTGTTTAGTCTTCTGCTTAGTTTCCCCTCTTCTGGAGTACTAAGCCTTGTAAGAAAAAGGTAAGGACTAGTCGCAATTCAAGGTGTGGATATCTTTCAAGGTATAGCAATAGGGTCGTACATAAGGAATTTTCATTTTTGTAATTATTACCTTCCTTGTACATAGTTCTTACTAGTTTATAGAAATTGTAGTGATGAACACATTCCCTAGAAGACACACTTGCATAAGCCAGACCCCAGGGCTGTTAGAAAATGGATTAGCATTATATTATAGTAGTGGCACAAGTCAGCTGCAATCTATGTGGCTGGTTACTTAAAATGTCGAGTAGAGCTTCTGACTAAAAGTTGGGCCAGAACCTATGCAACATCACTCCATGTATAATTAACAGCACAAGGTACCTCCTCGGAAAATTAACTACAGTTATTGCTACAAGTTCCTGGAGTGCAACTTGGGCAATCGAGTTTCATATTCCTATTGTATTGCACTATTGTTTACAAAAAATTTGATGTCCAGCGCCATTGTATTCCTATTGCGGGTTTTATTTCATGTCAAAGGAGCCTCTCTCGGCAATAAGTCTGCTGACTTTGACTCCCTTGACCAGACCACTTTTATGTACCAAAAATTTTATAGGGATGTCTACAGCTACCGTTACAAACTGACGTAGCACCACCTGATTGCAAACCATGGGACCCACACTGAAATTTTGGAGGAAGGTGGCATCACCTAGTTGGAAATGGGTGGGTAGGTGGGTCAGGGGCACATTTATTTAGGGGCAAAGGTGGTGTGGGTGAGACACCAACATCACAATCTGTATTAGCATTTTTAGATATTTATGTCGATTTATCGGTCATGTGAACTTCTCATATATCCTAGCCACACTTTTAAGCACCTGGCTCGGATGTCCTGATTTCAGATGCATAAAAGTGTGGCTCGGATGCATCTCTCGTGTGTACTAGACATATTAGTTGTCCTTGTGTTGTGCATGATCAACAATGCTAATGATAGAATGAAATATTCTTAATTGTATTCACAACATCGACGCATCATTTATCTATCATCATGACATAATATTTTTTATTTCAATTGATCCCTGTGTTAAGAAAAATGAAAAAAAAGGAATTGTGTTGATGCTTTCATGGAGTTTTCCCAGATGTACTATATGAATCTATGATCAATACAGATCATAGTTACATCTCTAGTGCATTAGTTAAAACACCTAATGTTTTAGTGTACACAACATACAATGCCGCCCTAATATCCTCGCCTTTCTTCTGGTATATAAAGTAGGTCACTGCTCCGAGGCCATGGCAGGCGGCCCATCAAACCTCGGCAAGATCCGGTGCACTCGGCGTGCACAAGGCTCCGCGGCAGTGCTGGCAATCGGAACGGCAAATCCAGTGAACCACGTGTATCAAGAAGAGTTCCCTGACTACTACTTCCGTGTCACCAAGAGCGAGCACCTCACTGACCATAAAGACACATTCAAGACAATATGTAAGCATGCAAACGTATATACTAGCTACGGTGAACGCATAGTCCACGAATGCAACCTTTGATCCCTGGGAAGTTTTTAAGACCTAAAGATGCCATGCCTATGTATGATCTAACTTCTGACATGCTTTATTATATTGTCGGTGTTTCGGTCACTAAAATCTGACCAGGTGGTGCGATTGGCACGGAGAATCGTTTCTTTCAATACATGGAGGAACAGCTGAACTCTTACCCTGACTTCCTGCTTCAACGCACGTTGCCATCCCTTGAAGTTCGGCTTTATATTGTGGCTAGTGCTGCTCCACAACTTGCCGCATCAGCCGCCAAGAAGGCCATTGCAAAGTGGGGACGTCCGGCCACTGACATCACCCACCTTGTCGTCAGCACCAACTCAGACGCCAGCACCCCAGGCATCGACGTACACTTGGTTTCACTTCTTGGCCTTCGCCTCAACATCTGTCGTACGATGCTCCAACTGAACGGCTGCTTCGCTGGTAGCTCTGCTTTGCGCTTGGCAAAAGACCTTGCTGAGAACAACCGCAGAGCACGGGTCCTTGTGGTTTGCGTGGAGCTATCCATTGCTGGTTTCTGTGGCCCCGACGACCACTTAGACACCCTCATTATTCATGCGTTGTTCGGCGATGGGGCTGGAGCGGTCATTGTCGGTGCTGATACCATGCACCCTGTCGAGCAGCCGATGTTTGAGATGGTGTCTGCCTCACAGACCATCATACCAGGCACCCAGCATGTGCTCGGCGTGAAGATGGGGAGCTATGGTGTTGGTGGCAAAGTTTCCACCGAACTGTACAAACTGGTGGCAGACAACATCGAGCCATGTGTCGGTGTCAAAACCCTATGGTAACAGGAGGCAGGGAATACGATGTTTTACCCAGATTCAGGCCCTCTTGATAGAGGTAAGACCCTATGTCCTGCTTGATTAATATTGATGATATGGGTAGTACAAGAGTAGATCTACCACGAGATCAAGGAGGCTAAACCCTAGAAGCTAGCCTATGGTATGATTGTTGTATATGGAGTTGATTGCCTACAAACTACAACCCTCCGGTTTATATAGACACCGAATAGGGTTAGGGTTACATAGAGTCGGTTACAATGGTAGAAGATCTTGAATATCCGCATCGCCAAGCTTGCCTTCCACGCCAAGGAAAGTCCCATCCGGACACGGGATGAAGTCTTCAATCTTGTATCTTCATAATCCAGGAGTCCGGCTGAAGGTATAGTCCGGCTATCCGAACACCCCCTAATCCAGGACTCTCTCAGTAGCCCCTGAACCAGGCTTCAATGACGACGGGTCCGACGCGCAAATTGTCTTCGGCATTGCAAGGCGGGTTCCTCCTCCAAGTCCTTCATAGAAGATTGTAAACACCGAGAGTAGTGTCCAGCTCTGCAAAATAAGCTTTCACACATTTCCATAGAGAGAATAATATTAACACAAATCAAATCTGCTGACGTATTCCGCAGTGCGTCATCACACTACAGCCAAGTCCTTCACTCAAATCGTTTTCATTTTTCCACCTCAGCGTGTTTTGCGAGGCGGTTTCCTTGGCACGTCTTGTCAAAGCAGAGATCGTGTACCCCCCTTTTACGGGATTCTCATCAATACGGACGTGGGTAACCCAACCGCGCCACTTATCACGGCGCTTGGGAGGCAAGCGAGTTTTACTAGGCAGGTGGGGACGCACAACCGCATCCGCCCATATAAGGGGATAAGGATCCACCTTTTTACCTACGCCTTCTTCCTCCTTTGCCTATCCATCTCCTGTGCACTCGAGCTCCAGCGCCCAAGCCCGCACTTCCCACCTCAACCTTCTCCAGCAATGTCCGGAGCGGGAGGCAAGCGGATGGTCTCCTCCGCTACGGAGGGCCAAGTCAAGAAGCTAAGGAAGGCCGGATACCTGTCTAAGGACATCGCGCACCGGCTTCCCGAAAAGGGGCAGCTTCTCCCCACCTCAAGGCCCCATGAGAGGGTAGTATTTCTTTCCCACTTCCTCCGCGGACTGGGTTTTCCACTCCACCCATTTGTCCGGGGGATCATGTTCTACTACGGCCTGGATTTCCACGATCTGGCCCCGAGCTTCATCCTCAACATCTCGGCGTTTATTGTCGTGTGCGAGGCTTTCCTCTGCGTCCGCCCTCATTTCGGCCTCCGGCTCAAGACCTTCAACGTCAAGCCCAAGGTGGTGCGCGGCAGCCAGACGGAGTGCGGAGGCGCCATGGCGGGCAAGATGTCCAACATCCTATGGTTCGAGGGCTCTTTTGTGGAGACCCTAAAGGGGTGGCAATCCGGGTGGTTTTACATCACCGAGCCACGCGATCCGAACTGGATCACAGCCCCCGAGTTCCGATCCGGACCCCCCACGCGGCTTATGTCCTGGAAAGAGATGGGCCTGTCGTGAGGTGACGAAAAAGAGGTGACCGGATTGCAAACATGCATCCAAACCCTGGTGAACAAGCCAATCCGGCTTGTTAATGTAATCCAGGTTATGCTCGTCCGCCAGATCCTCCCGTGCCAACAATGGGATTTTAATCTGTTGGAGTTCGACCCGGCGCAGCACCAAACCCTTAGCAGGCTCTTCGACACGACGTACGAAGATGCCTGGAAGGTGCTATTCAAGGGCGCCGAGGCTCCCGCATCCGCTTCCAAGGACCGCGGATACAGCTCGCAGCGTCACGCTAGCGAGGTAAGCTATCATCACCTTTTACAGGATGTTTAAGATTTTTTTCATAGTTTGACTCTATGCGGGGTCTAAACTCCCTTACCTTTGACAGGCTTGGCGAGCGATATCCGGACCGATTAACTGTTTGGCTCCGTTGCCCGAAGACCCAGCCCCAGCTCTACTAGTGAAGCTGCTGGTTTCGGCGCCTTATGTGGTGCCGGAGAAGAAGGCCAAGAAGAAGAAGACCACGGGGACTCGAAAGAGTGCCCGTAACGTGGTGGTGTCGGACTCGTCATCCGACGAGTCCGAGACGCCCTCTTCCCGTGAAAACGAGGAGGAGGAAGAAGAAAACTCTCCCCCCAGCGGTGGGAGGAGAGAAGAGGAAGGCCGCCCCAACGGGGGAGGCCGAGGGGTCTAGGAAAAGGAAGACCCCTCCGCCAGACTACTCCCCCAACGCCGAAGAGGGTGGAGAGGAGTGGCCAAACAGGGCCAAGCGTCTGACGAAATCGTAAGTTCGGATATCAGAGCAACTCCTGATGTTCCTTTGTTGCACAGCTTTCCCTAATGTCAAATGTAATTATGCAGCCCGCCCCGGGCCGAATTCAACGAATCGTCGGGCGGCTCCCTGGACTCATCAGACGTGAACTCAGTTCCGCCCGCTGTCTCCCCCCGCACTACAGACGACGCCGAAGTGGCGTCGCGACAAGCTCCGGGGCAGGAGGAGGTGGTCCCGGAGGAGCCGCAAGGCAACCTCCCGGACTCTAGGAGTGAAGGGGATAAGGCCCCCCAGGGCTCCAAGTCCGGCTTTGTGCCGGACACCGCGCCGGAATCTTCCACAGTTCCGGATCGCGATAGGCGAACTCCTTCCAAGAGGAGCAAGCCTTCTGAGCCGGCGGCCTCCGTCCAACCGGAGGTGCCGAACAATCTGCTGGAGGTGCTCGACGGCGCCTCCATCGATGAGGGGTACCGTACTATTATGAGTACGGTGATCCAGAAGGTTCAGTCCATCAAGAGCGGACTGACTGAAGCTTGCGCTAGCCTTCTAACAGGCTTCGAGGTAAGTAAAAATATGTAAAAATATTACCGCATAGACAGTAGCCCCTGATGCTCTGTTTGGCGTTCGGAAAGAAAAGCCGAATAGAGGATCTATTAAATATCGCAGGAGTCTAACAAAAAAGAGTCAATATGCGTATGCAGGCTTCGCTGCTATCCACCGCCGCACTGACTGCAGAGGTGGGTGTCTTGAAGCAGGACCTCGAGCGGACCGAGCAAGAGCTCGGCCTTGCCAAGCGGCGGCTCGAGGAGAAAGAAGGTAAGAAATACCTTATAGAAAAAGTGCCTATAAAAAGGCGTGATTGCAAAAAGATAACAGGATTGTACTGCTTATTGTAGGGGCCACGACTGAGGTGGCGGCCCTTAAGCAGGCGCTGTCTGAGACCGAAAAGAAAACGGCCGCGGAGCGCACCGAGCGAGACAGACTTGGGGTTCAGGTCGGCGAGGTTCAGCAAGAGCTTCAGGCTCTCATGAAAAAACATGAGAGTTTGGAGCTTGAGTCAAAGGTGCTAGCATCCGAGCTCGCAACGGCCCTTGAGACTACCAAGTCTGCCAAGGCCGAAGCCCAAAAGGCCCTCCAAGAGTTGGAGGAGATGAGGAAGATAGCAGCGGGTAAGGCATTCTTTATGCAAAGCAGAAATATAAAAGTAAACTACTTATTACTTACCCAAATCCGGAGCTCTCCAGGGGCATTCGCAGATCTTCCCCGCAACGTATTCGACGCCGCCGCATTCTACCGAGCTGAAGAGGGCAGCTCGACGGAGAAGGTGTTCTGGTCTCAGTATTCTGAGGCCGGACACCCTGTGCCCTTGAGCGACCAGCTGAAACAGCTGGTCGAGCTCCACAAGGCAGCCGAACAGGCCATGAAGGGCTTCGTAGTTCGGTTGTGGCCCGGAGAGGCCCTGCCTGGGAGCTATTTCGGGCTGATGCGGAGGCTGGTGGAGGCCTGTCCGAGGCTCGAGGTCATCAAGCACTCCATCTGCATCGAAGGTGCCCGTCGGGCCCTTGCCCGTGCGAAGGTGCACTGGGGTAAGCTGGACAGTGAGAAGCTTGTGAAGGACGGGCCGCCGCCGGGGAAGGAGCATCACAAGCCCGAGAACTACTACAAGGATGTTCTTGCAGGTGCCCGCCTTGTGGCGGATGAATGTACCAAGGATGTGATTTTTGAATGAACTCGCTCGTGTTTATCCTGTGCGCTGAAAACTTGTTCATATGCGCTAAGCAATGCTTATTGAATTTAAAATATTACTTTCTGTGCGGCCGTTTATCAAAAAATTGAGAGATGGCCAGTCGTCGGCTTCTACCCCCATGCTGTTGGGGAACGTTGCAGAAAATTAAAATTTTTCCTACGGTTTCACCAAGATCCATCTATGAGTTCATCTAAGCAACGAGTCAAGGGGTGAGTTTGCATCTACATACCACTTGTAGATCGCGTGCGGAAGCTTGCAAGGGGATGGTGATGATGGAGTCGTACTCGACGTGATTCGGATCACCGATGACCAAGTACTGAACGGACAGCACCTCCGCGTTCAACACACGTACGGGACGGGAGACGTCTCCTCCTTCTTGATCCAGCAAGGGGAAGGAAAGGTTGAGGAAGAACGCTCCAATGGCAGCACGACGGCGTGGTGCAGTTGGAGTAGTAGTATTCCGACAGGGCTTCGCCAAGCACTTATGGAGGAGGAGAGGTGTTGGGGAGGGGAGGGGCTGCGCCTTGGCTTGTGTTGATCTCCCATGCGCCTCCCCACTATATATAGGGGTGGAGGGGCTGGTTTCTTGCCCTCCAAGTCCATTGGGGCGTTGGCCAAGGTGGGAGGAAAGAAATCCCATCATTTCCTTCCCCACCGATTGTTATCCCCCCTTTTTAGGGATCTTGATCTTATCCCTTCGGGATATGATCTTATTCCTTCTAAGGGGGGATCTTGGTGCGCCTTGACCAGGGGTGTGGGGCCTTTCCCCCACTACTCACGTTCATGTGGGTCCCCCCATGCAGGTGGGCCCCACTCCGGAACCTTCTAGAACCTTCCCGGTACAATACCGAAAAATCCCGAACATTTTCCGGTGGCCAAAATAGGACTTCCCATATATAAATCTTTACCTCCGGACCATTCCGGAACTCCTCGTGACGTCC